AGTTGCTATAGGAAAGTTTCCTGTCAGGGACCTCTCCAGAGTGCTGAAGAGCAATGATGTCATTCCAGGGCAAAGGTATACCTGATCCAGGCCATGGTCTTTTCAATTGCTTTCATCCATCTGAGAACTGGACAGTGACTAAGAGTGATAGAGGAAGAATAAATTCTTTTGAGTTGTAGTGCTGGAGAAGAGTATTGAGCATACCATGGACTGACAGGAGAATAACCAAGTCTGTCCTGGATAGGATGAAACCAAGTTGCTGCTTGGAGGCAAGGATCTTGAAGTCCATCTCACATACTTTGGGCACGTTGCCAGGAGGGACTAGTCTTTGGGTGTTTGGAAGGTTAAAGGGTTAGTGCAGGAGAGGAAGACCCTGCATAAGGTGGATGACTCAGTTACTGTGGCAGTGGGCGTGAGTGTGTCAGAGATGGTGAGGTTGACTCAGGCCAGAGCAAGGTTCAGAACTATTGTTCATAAGGTTGCTATTGAGTCGTAGTCAACTCAACAGCATACAACAACAGAACATAAATTAATTTAGACTGTAAATGTAGTGATTCAAAAATCTAGAATCTTTTAGATGAGGTACTGGCCTTTGTGGGAAGAGTATTACCTAGTAATTTTACTAGGTATTGTGTATATACTTTCTTCTTGTTATATGCCAGCACGTCAGCTAAGACTCATAGCGAGCCTATGAACGAGGCTCTAAACCATGCCCTGTCCTGGGCCAACTTTACCATCTCTGACACACCTGCCCCCATTGCCATAGTCACTGTCTTCCTCTCTTGGCCTGACCTTCTATCATTCCAAATAGAATGTTTTTCTCCAAGGACTGGTCCCTAGTGACAGCATGCCCAAAGTATGTGAGATGGAGTTTCAAAATCTTTGCCTCCAAGCTAGGGTTATATATGCACAGAAGGTTCTATTCTAGCAGTATTTTTTTTTTTATTCTCAAGCTGTGCTGCAATCCCTAAAGTCAAGCAGTTTGAGTCCACCAGCTGTTCCATAGGAGAAGGATGGGCAGTCTTCTCCTGTGTGATTAACTGCCTCTAAAAACAGGCCAAAGGGTCAGCTATGGGTTAGTTCCAACTGAATGGTACAACAGTGCAAAATTTACCTCTAATTTAAAAATACAGATTTTAAAAAACAATAAATAAATCTAAGCAAGAAACACCTGCGTACTCTAGAAGTTGTACACAATCTGTTTTATAATTTTAAATTTTATAGTCTATTTTATAAATTTAAATTTACAAAACTCTTATATTTCAAAAGCAGTGATTTCTCTTGCTTTATTAAAAAGATTTATGGAATTATGAGTTAGTAATAAAAGTTGCCTGATAAGCTTTAAAGTCCTTATACTTTTTTTTTTAGTCTTAATACTTGTACTACAAGATTAAAATCTGTATTGAAGTATTTCAAACTATAGGGAGCTCCAATGACCTAGTAGGAAGGAGTTGATCTGCTAACCCAAAGGCATGTGGCTCTGCAGGAGAAAAATGAGCAATTTCCTACATGCACTGGAAAGACTAGCTATGAGTTTGCTTCTGCTCAACAGCACATAACATTTCAAACTAAATCTGTAGTTCAGAGTCACACATAACAAAGCCTGGGCAGAAAGACAACATCTCTTTGTTCATGTGGTATTGATGATTTATGATAGATGGAGAGGAGATTGAGGGTGTTAGCAATTTCAGCTTGCTGGCTTCCACAGTCAACACTCTTGGCACCAGCGGTCAAGAAATGAAAAGGTGAATTGCATTAGTGCGAAAGAGAAATTATGTCAGTCTGGAGATTAAGGTGCACCTGATCCAGGCCATAGTCTTTGCAGTTACTTGCTATATATCAGTAAGCTGGACAATGACAGAAGGAGGATAAATGCCTTTGAGTTGTGGTGGTGGAGAAGAGTGTTGAACATTCCATGGACTGCAAAGAGAACAGACAAGTTTGTCCTGGAGAGGGTGAAACCAAGTTGCTCTAAGAGGTGAGAATTTTGAAGCTCTGTCTCACATCCTTTGGGCATGTTGCCAGGAGGGATAAGTTCTTGGTGAGGGATCTCATTCTTGGAAGGGTGGAGGGACAGCACAAGAGCGGAAGACCGTGGATGACATGGATCCACACAGTAACTGAGTTAATGTGGTTAGGCGCATCAGAGATGGTGAGATTGGCTCAGGATAGTTCAGAGCTCAGATCTATTGTGCATAGGGTTGCTTTGAGCCGCAGGTGACTCGACAGCACACAACAACAATACCTTCTCTCTCAAAATACGTTATTAGGTTAATTGTGTGTCTCTTGGAGGCAAGGATGGTGAAGCTTTGTCTCATATACTTTGGGCATGTTGCTAAGAAAGCCTATCGGGAATCATGCTTGGAAAGGTGGGAGGTCAGCAAAAGAGAGGAAGACCCTCAATGAGATGGGTTTACAAAGTGACTACAGCAATGGGCTCAGTGTATCAGGTGTCATAAGGATGACACAGGATAGGACAGCATGCAGAGCTCTTGTTCATAGGATCACTAATGCGTCATCCTTACTCAACGGCACCACCAACAGCAGCAAAGTAGCAGAGCATTATTTTTCTTAAAACGCATGGCAAGAACCTTAGCATCTTTTTCTTTTTTGGGAAAGGGAGAAATGAACTAGGGAATAGTTTTTTAAGTAAATTTATTGAAATATAATTTGCATTCTTTTATACAGATACTTAAGTTTTTACAATTCTATACTTAGGTAATCATCACAAAAAAGAAATCTTTTTTTTTCAGATATTTAGTACATAAAATGTCTATTCAGACCTTGTGCCATATTTAATTGTATTATCCCTTCTTACTGACCTGCACAACTTTTTTTTTTTAATCTGGATAACCAATTTTATCAAATAAATGTCTTGCAGATATTTCCTCCCAATTTGTTGCTTTTCTTTTTTTTTCTTTTTCTTTTTTAATTTTTTTTATTTTGTGGGTATGTACCATGAAATCAGATCTGACCGGTACAGGAGAAGATTGCCCCTCCTTCTCCAGCAGAGCATCTGGTGGATTTAAATTGCACACCTCTGGGATTGCAGTGCAGCATTTTTCTTTCTTTTTTAAAAAAAAAATTGCTTTTTAAAAAAATTGTCATTTGAGTGAAAGTTTACAAAGCATATTATTATTTTTTTGTGTAATTCATGCACATTTTGTTATATAACATTAATTACAGTACCCATTTATATTCCATTTTTTAGTCCATTCGATAGTCCATTTGTTCTGCTTTGTCTTTGCTGGTGGGGAACATCTTCCAGTTTTGCTGCTGAATCTACTCCATTTAATGGCGAGACTAGTTAGTGACCTTGTGGATTGGTGAGACTAGCCAGCCCCCTTGTGGATAGGTTAACACGCCGGGCTCATGTCTTCATGCTCATCCACATCTAGGTGGAATGTACTTGCTACAAGAAGCCCTGGTGGCAGAGGGATTACGTATTTAGCCACTTACCAGAAGGTTGACAGTTTGAACTCACCAGCTGCCCTGTGATAGAAGGATGTGATGGTCTGATTCCGTAAAGACAGTAACTTTGGAAACCTTTGTGGGGTCTCTATCCTATAGGATAATTATGAGTCAGAGTTAACTCAAGAGCAATAGCATTGAATTACCTTCACAGCCTCCTACTTGCTTCATCTTAAGATGTCTAGAATGAGATGCCAGCCATGATTCATTTTTTATTCATTCGTAAACACATACCACAATGCCTAGCCATATGGTAAGCACTGTATATGTATTTGTTGACAAAAGGAAGGAATGAGGGTGGAACTTAAGTAGATCTATGTCTCCACACATTAGTTCAGCACAGCATAGCAATTAAGAAAAAGGCCTTTCAGGTTGGACTTTTCATTCTGGCTCCACTTGTCTGAGTACAGGTTTATACATCATATTAGTATTCATTCATTCAATCATTCATAAATATATTGTTTTATAATATGAATTGTTATGTGCTGTTGAGTCGCCTGCGACTCATAGCGACCCTGTGAATAACAACCCTAAACTCTACTTTATCCTGTGCCAATCTTATTATCTCCGACACAACTATCCTCTTTACCCTAATCACTGAATCATTCCACCTCACTGAGAGTCTTCCTCTCCTGCACTGTCCCTCCACCCTCTCAAGCATGATGTCCCCCTATAAGGACTGACCCTGCCTTGCAACTTGTCCAAAGTATGCCAGACAAAGCTTCAGAATCCTAGCCTCCAAGGAGCAGGCTGGTTTCACCTTCTCCAAGATGAACTTGTTTATTCCCCTAGCAGTCCATGGTATATTCAACACTCTTCTCCAGCACCACAGCTCAAAGGCATCAATTCTCCTTCTATCATCCCTAGTCATTGTCCAGTTTTCTGATGCATAGCAAGTGATTGCAAACACAATGGCCTGTATCAAGTGCATCTTTCTGTTAAACTTTACTTCAAACTCACTACCTACTTTAATTGTGACTGTAGACAGATTATTTAGCTTCACTGAACCTCAATTCCCAAGTAATCCAAGAGAATAATGCAATGAAATCTGTGAATGCTGGGCCTGCCTTGTTTTTCTGGGTAACATATATTTTCTGACTTTGACAGGGTATGATCTTGCCACTTTTCTATTGTGTTTTTCAGTGGAAAATACTGCTATTTTCCATCTCTGATGAGTTTCCTCATTACAGTTTCTGCCTTTTTTTCCAGGTTCTACAGTACCTAACTCATGTTGTTGTTGTTGAGTACCACCAAGTTGGAGCCAACCCATAGCTGACCCTCTCAAGGGTTTTCAGGGGCCTTTAATCACATGGAAGGAGATGCCCATCCTTCTCCCATGGAGCAGTTGGTGGATTCGAAATAGATGCCTTCAGGATTGCAGCGCAGATTTTTGCCACTAGGCCACCAGAGCTGTATGAGATGGTGCATTCCATGAATATATCAGTGCTTCATAATGAACCTTTAGTAAATGAAGCTCCTACTTCTGTGAATACTAACAATAATCAAATATCACTGCCTGTCTCTTATAGGAAACTCTGCTCTTAAAGACAAAGAAGACCAATTTGGGAGAACCCCTCTTATGTATTGTGTGTTGGCTGACAGATTAGACTGTGCAGATGCCCTCCTGAAGGCAGGAGCAGACGTTAATAAAACTGACCATAGCCAGCGGACAGCGCTTCATCTTGCAGCTCAAAAGGTAAGAAGTCAAATTACCTGAAAGAAGAATTGTTTTGGTGGTTATTTGTGATTAACGGAATTATACAGAAGACAACTATTAAAAAACAAAACAAAACATAAGTTATGACCCTCAACTTCGCTGAACCTCCTTCCCAGTAATACAGGAGGCTACTACAGAACAGAAAGCACAGATAACCATAAATGACTGCATCCTCCTATTCATGCTTCTCTAGCTATAGAATTTATTCTGCGATTTAAGTTTAAGTGGGGCGGAGAACAAAAGTATATATGTACAAAATGATTAAGGCTGTATTACAAATTAAATTATGCACAGAAAAAACAACAACAATGCCCCAATAGAAATACATTAAAATGTTAATAATGGTTCAGTGTAAATATTGGGAATTTTCATGAGGCTTTCTCTTCTTGTCATTTTTTTATTATTTATTTACTTTTCTTAATGAGTATTATTTTTATTAAAAAATCAGTCTTTCATGAAGTGTATTTAGTGTTTGGAAAAGAAATCTCAAACCATATTGCAAATATATATGTTTTCACATTATTAATGCTATTGCCAAGATTTTTAAGATTAAATACATCAAAAAATAAAATAAGAAGCTTTTCAATTTATTTAAAGACTTATTTGACTACAAATTACATTTTCCTCCATGAAATTTTGATCTGCCAGATAGCTCTCCTATGGCTGTTCTCTCTCTTTTGCTAATTTAGACTTCTCCACTTGTAGAATAAAAAGCAATAAAAATTAGTTAGATCTAGCAGAAACCATTTATAAAAATGTGAATCAGATATAGCTGGTTAATTGAAGGGTTAGAAAAATATCTTTTCATTAATTGAATACATAAAAGAAGACTGACATTAGATATATTACTGAATATGCTAGTTATATGCTTTTATCAGGTCTGTTGGGTTATTTCCAAAGTTAATTCTCTTGGAATTATTTTTCAGTATAATAATGTTTTTAAAAATAATTCCTCATTTTTATCTCAATTTTAACTACTGATAACGTATTTATAACCTCTCACCCAGACTTTGTCAGCTATTAAAATTTTTCCATTAGGAAAGTTAACTCCATTTAACTTGTTATTGTTTGAAAGTAGATATTTCAGAAGGAACTAGCCCCAGTACTCAAAGCTTTACGTTTTTCAGTATGATTTATTTCTTTTTAAACCTAAGCTTCAAAAATATAAGATGGAGAGGCTAACCTTGATTATAAGTGCATCATGTGGAAAAGGTGAGGCCTTGCTTTGTTTATCCAACAATATATCGCATTGTGTGGGAACACTACTATCATCCAGATATATGCACCAACAACCAGAGCCAAAGAAGAAGAAATAGATGATTTCTACCAACTCTTACAGGCAGAGATAGATCGAACATGCAATCAAGATGCATTGATAATAATGGGCGACTGGAACGCA